TGCTGCTGCTGCTGCTGCTGCTGCTGCTGCGGCGGCGGCGGCGGCGGCGGCCGCGGGCGCCGCGGCGCCCGGGTGTACAGACACCCCGACGCGGAAGCACACCTCCACCGCGCACACCTCCGAGTCCTTAAAAGTCATTTTATTTTTATTTTCGTTTTTGTTTTCGTTTCCGGACTTGGTGTAAAACGCAGTGATGATTCCGCGGAGGCGTCTGGAGGGCCGCAGCGACGTGTTGCTGCCGCCGCTGCTGCTGCTGCTGCTGCTGTGGTGTACGTACAGCTCCGCCAAGGCCGCGTCCGCCGCCATTTCTCGGAAATACATTTCTTTGAAAAATAAATTCATTGAATTCAAAACTTCAGCAGCAATTAAAGTCACGCGAGTCCGCACCAAGTCCACCAGGTGTATCCGCACCTCCTGCCCCACAAACAGGCACAGCTCCCCGGACGCCCCGCCCTCGCTCTCGCTCCCTGCTGCTGCTGCTGCTGCTGCTGCTGCGGGCGCTGCTGCTGCTGCTGCGGGCGCCGCTGAGGGGGGTGCTGCGGGCAGTTCGCGCTGCTGCGCTGCGGGCAAGCCGCAGTCAGCAGCGCCGGTCCCTGCTCCGGCTGCGTCCGAAGCAAAGGCGCTGAATACAGCGCAGCGCAGCTGCTGCAGCAGCAGCAGCTGCAGCAGCAGCAGCTGCAGCAGCAGCAGCTGCAGCAGCAGCAGCTGCAACAGCAATTGGTTGTTACTGCGGCTGCTAAGGCTGGGCGAGGTGACCAGCAGAAAGCGCAGCAGCAAAAGCGACTTCATTCCAACTTACAGAACATAAAAAGTATTTCTATTTTTAATTTAATTTATTATTTTATTTTATTTTATTTTACTTTATTTATTTTATTTTTATTTTTATTTATTTTTGAAAATAATAAAAGTGGAAAAGAAGCCGCAAAGCAGCAGCAAGAAGTTGGGGAGTTGGAAATGAAGGCGGAAAGTGAAAAGAGAGAAAACCAAAATCAAAAAAACAAAATTGGGAAATTGAAAAAGAAGAAATAAATTAAATAAAGAAATAAAGAAATAATAAGTAACTAAATAAAAGGAAATAAAAATAGATAAATGGAAGAAATGATAAATAAGGAAATAAAAAGAAAGGAAAAGAAATAAAGAAATGGAGAAACGGAAAGATATAAAAGGAAACAGAAATAAAAGGAAATCAAAAGAAATAAAAATAAAAAAAAGAAATAAATAAGAACACATGAAAAGAAATAAAAATAAGCAAATAAGAAATAGAAATGAACGAATAAGAAGTAGAAAGAAACAAATAAGAAGTAGAAATGCATAAATAAGAAATAGAAATAAATAAATAAACAAAAAGAAATAAAGAAAATAGAAAGAAATAAAGGAAACAAGAAGAAATAAAATTTCATTTCCATTTAAAGACTTCCTGGAAATGGCGCGAAGTCCTCGAAAGGCGAATTTTGTTTTTCGAATTTAATTTTAAAAAATTCTTTTTTGGATTTAGGCAAAAGATGAAAATGAAATAATAAATAAAAGTAAAAACAAGTAGGAGTAAATAGAAGGAAATAAAGAAATAAAACTGAACAAAAGTGGATAAATAAACAAAACTGAATAAAAGTAAATAAAGAAATAAAAGAAATAAAGAAAAGAAAAGAAAGAAAAGTAAGTAAAACTAAATAAACAGATAAAAGTTAGTAAACAATAAAAGCAAATAAAATAAATACAAGTAAAACTAATGAATGAACCAATAAAACTAAATAAACGAATAAAACTAAATAAACGAATAAAACTAAATGGAGAGACCAAACTAAAAAAACAAATAAAAAGAAATAAAAGTAAATAAAGAAATAAAAGCAAATAAGAAATAAAGCTAAATAAAGAAACAAAACTAAATAAACAAATAAAAGAAATAAAAGCAAATAAATAATAAAACTTCGTTTTGAGTTAAGGACTTTCTTGAAAGGAAAAGAAGTCCTCAAAAGGACAATTTTGATTTTCGATTTTAATTTTAGAAAAACTTTTTTTTCGAATTTTATTTTTCGAATTTAAATCCTCCGCCTCCTCGCTGGCCTCCAGTTTTTTGCTGAAGTGCCATTTGCATTCAATTTTGATTTCATTTCATTTTCATTTCTTTTCATTTATTTTATTTTCATTTATTTTAATTCATTTCCATTTATTTTAATTTACTTCATTTTATTTCATTTTATTTCATTTTAATTCAATCCCCGTAAATTCATTTTATTTCATTTGAATCCATTTTAATGGATTTGAATGGATTTGAATGAATTTCAATGCATTTTAATTGATTTTAGTCCATTTGAATAAATCTGAATGAATTTTAATGGATTTGAATGAATTTTAATGGATTTTAATGGATTTGAATGGATTTGAATGGATTTGAATGGATTTGAATGAATTTTAATGGATTTGAATGGCCTTTAATTGGTTTAAATTGGTTTTAAGTGATTTCAGTGGAATTCAAGGCGTCCAAAGGTGGAAATAAAGCCCTCGAGTTCGGCAAAAAGGGGAAAAGAAGTCGAAAGAAAAATGCAAGTGGCTGGAGAACGAAAAGCGCTCACAGAATGAGTTCGAGGGTTTTGTCGCGAAGGACTTCGAAGGCCGTTTTCGTCTTTGCGCGTTTTCGCGTCGAAAAGCAGTTTCGCTCTTCGACGCCTTTTGGTTTTTTCTGAAGTTGCAAACAGCTCCACAACAGACGCATTTCATTTGTTATTTCATTTATTTCATTTGTTATTTCATTTATTTCATTTATTTCATTTATTTCATTTGTTTTTCATTTCACTTCTTATTTCATTTATCGTTTCATTTTGTTTAACTTCATTGCAATTTATTTCACTTCATTTCATTTATTATTTCATTTATTATTTCATTTATTATTTCATTTATTATTTCATTTTATTTCCACTTTATTTCACTGCACCTTCACTCATTCATTTCTTCCACCTCCATTGAACGCCATCAAATGAATTGACAATAATGTCCAATTATAATTAGCAATTAATATCCAATATTATAATTAGCAATTAATTAGCAATTAATTAGCGATTAATTAGCAATTAATTAGCAATTAATTAGCAATTAATTAGCAATTATAATATCCAATTAATTGGCAATTAATGTCCAACTAATCAGCAATTAGTATTCAATTATAATTCGCAATTAACTGACAATGATATCCAACCAACCAGCATTAATTAATTAGCAATGAATATCCAACTATAATTAGCAATTAATTAGCAATTAATTAGCAATTAATTAGCAATTCATTGGCAATTAATTAGCGATTAATTGGCAATTAATACTCAATTATAATTAGCAATTAATTGGATGTAATAAATTGGCATTAATTGGCAACCAATTGGCTCCACTTAGTCGCTAATTATGTCCAATGAAACCCCACCTGGACTTTTCAATATTCAATAAATCAGCAATTAATCAGCAATGAATATTCAACGAATCAGCAATGAATATTCAATGAATCAGCAACTAATTGGATCCAATGAATCAGCAATGAATAAGCAATGAATAGGCAATGAATAAGCAATGAATAAGCAATGAATAGGCAATGAATAGGCAGTTAATTGGGAATTAATTGGGAATTAATTGGGAATTAATTGGCAGTTAATTGGGAGGCATGAGCAGCTAGTTGTGCGGAAAGCAGCTGCAGCCGACGCTTCAATACTCGAAGAATCCGCAATGAATCAGCAACAAAGTGGATCCAACGAATCGGCAATGAACAAGCAATGAACAAGCAACCAATTGGCAGTTAAGTGGCCACTAATTGGCAGTTAAGTGGCCACTAATTGGCAGTTAAGTGGCCACTAATTGGCAGTTAAGTGGCCACTAATTGGCAGGAATGCGCAGCTAGTTGCGCGGAAAGAGCTGCAGCCGGACTGACTGCAAAGTCGACTTGCAAGTCGAGCAGCGCCGCGGCGGAACTGCGAAATCCGAAATTCGGCGAAGTCGAAATCACCGCCGCCAGCGAGGCCGCCAAACTCGGCGCGAAAACTTCGCGGGACTTTTCTTTCTGGAGACGCAGTTCAGCGAGAAAAGAATTTGAATAAAGAGTGAAGGAAGAAAGGAATAAAGAGTGAAGGAAGGAATAAAGGAATAAAGAGTGAAGGAAGGAATAAAGGAATAAAGAGTGAAGGAATAAAGGAATGGAGAAGAATAAAGAGTGAAGGAATAAAGGAATGGAGAAGAATAAAGAGTGAAGGAATAAAGGAATAAAGGAATAAAGGAGTGAAGAAGTGATAAGAGGGTTTACACTGGCAATGGGGCTTCATTCAGTGGGCTTTGTTGAATTAATCACTGGGGTCCAGGAAATGCACGAATTTGAAGATGCAAATACGTATATTTGAAGAAATGGATTTGAACAAATGAATAAATGAATAAATGGATTTAAAAGTAAATGAATAAATAAATAAATGGATTTAAAAGTAAATGAATAAATAAATAAATGGATTTAAAAGTAAATGAATAAATAAATAAATGGATTTAAAAGTAAATGAATAAATAAATGCACTTGAATTAGTTGATCAAATTTGATTCGGATAAATTGGTTTACTTCTTTTCTTTTAAAGGGACTCGTGGGGGCAACTTCACAAAAGTGAGAAGTAAAAATAAAATAAAAGAATAAATGAAATTATTTTAATAAAGATAAAAGAACAAGTGAAATGAAATAATAATAATAAAAATAAACAGAATACGTGAAATGGTTAAAATAAAAGAATAAATAAACTATAATAATAATAATAAAAAGAATAAATGAAATGAAACGAAATGAAATGAAACGAAATGAAATGAAATTTTCAACGAAGTGCTCCTTGACGCTGCTTAGAATGGACAAAAAACACAAATAAATGAAATAATAATAAAAGAAGCATGAAAGAATAAATGAAATAATAATGAAAGAATAAGAAAAGAATAAACGAAGTAGTAAACAAAAATAAAAAGAATAGAAGAGGCAAATGAAATAATAAAGAAGAATAAAAGGAATAAAAAGAATAAAAAGAATAAAAAGAATGAAAAGAATGAAAAGAATAAAAAGAATAAAAAGAATAAGAAGAATAGAAGAATAAATGAATTTAAAAAGTTAATGAATTAAATGCAAGTTAAATTTCTCACTTGGAGATCTTTCGAACTTCGAAAGGCCCGCGGGATTTGACTTTTGAGTTTGGCGAAGATCTTTTCGAAAAGAGAAAACAATTCAACTTCCAGCTTTTTGTCTCCCTAAATAAATAAATAAATAAATAAATTAATTAATTAATTAATTGGTTTGTTTGTTTGTTTATTTCTTTTGTTTCTTTTGTTTTGTCTTTTTTTCTGTATTTTCAGTTCTTTCAGTTCTTTTGGTCGTTTGATTCTTTTATTTTTATTCCTTTTCTTTCCATTTAACTACCAAGTTAATTAATTAATCATTTAATTAATTAATTGATTAATTAATCATTTAATTAATTAATTAATTAATTGATTGATTAAGTAATTAAATGCGGACCTGCAAGCAGCTTTTTGCAAAAGAGCTGAAGAGCGCCTTCTCGCTGGTGATGTTCACCGCCTGCAGATCACTCGAAGTTGAATTTGGTAAATGATAATAAATAAAAACAAATAAAGTAATTAAAATAAATAAATAAATAAACAGGAATAAATAAATAAATAAATATAAATAAATGAATAAATAAATGAAAGTGACACTCTAATCGTCTCCTGGTGTCTATCCAGTTCCACGTCGATTTTCTGCATCCACCAACAGAAATGTTATTCGATTTAATTCAACAAATTAATTTAAAATTGAAACAATCAAAACAATTAAAGTTATTAAAACGATAAAACAATTGAAGCACTTAAAACAATTAAAGTAATTAAAACAATTAAAGTAATTAAAACAATTAAAGTAATTAAAACAATTAAAATAATTGAAACAATAATTAAAACAATTAAAACAATTAAAAGAGTTAAAATAATTAAAACGATTAAACCAACAATTGAAACAATTAAAACAATCGAAACAATTAAAACAACGAAGATAATTTAAATATTAAAACAATTAAAACAACAATTAAAACAATTAACACAATTAAGATAATCTAATTAATTAAATTAATTAAAACAATTAACTTTAACGTTGAATTCAATTCCCCACCAAGACAATTCGGTTCCACTCCGTTTCTTCAGGTGTATGTACACGGAAGCAGAAGGCGATCTGCAGAAATCGCATTTGCAGCAAAGCAATAAATTCATTGTTTATATTTAATTTAGTAAGTTAATTTAACTTATTAAGCCTCCCCACCTGCCCGCCGCAGACTCCGCAGCAAACTTCTTCGGCTGCTGCCTTTGCAGAAAACTCTTCAATTCCAAAAAGAGGTCCAAATTTAATTAAAAAAGAACTGAAACAATAATAGTGGAGTTTCCGTAAAGTTCCCCGACGCAGAATTAGGGTTTAGGGTTTAGGGTTTAGGGTTTGGGGTTTAGAGGGCTAGAGTGTACTGAGGGTTAGCCAGAAGTTGCTTTAAAGCTGTGAGGGTTTGAAAGTGTTTAGTTGGGGCTTTAAGACAGCACGAGTGGACTTGAGGTGGGCTTGCACAGGCGCTAGGGTTTAGGGTTTAGGGTTTAGGGTTTAGAAGGAAGTACCTGAGGCAGCTGGTGACCAGGCAAGCTGCTGCTGCTGCTGGCAGCAGCGGCATGCCGTTGAAGCTTCGAATTAAATATATTTCTTTCTGGTCATCTTCAGCATCTAAAGACAAGACTTGGGCTTTGACCTCAACTGCTGCTGCTGCTGCTGCTGCTGCTGGTGCTTCTGGTGCATCAGCAGCAGAAGCAGCAGCAGCAGCAGCAAGGCTTTCTGGGGGGCTATGGGTGAAAGCCTCGAAGCGCCGCTGCCCCTTAAAGACCAAATTGGTGTTTATTTTGAGCTGAAGAATATACAATAATAATAATAATAATAATAATAAATAAAATAATAAAATTTAAATTTCAAGTTGCTGCTGCACTACTCCATTTCAGGTGTACGTTCACCTGCTGGCACCACTGCGTGTACACCGCGCAGTAGTCTTCCAGCATCATTTCTTTCTTTGCATCCCAAATGGGGGAAAGCTGAAACAAATAAATGAATAAAAAGAAAATAAATAAATAAATGAATAGATAAATAAATGAATGAATAAATGAATGGCAAAAAGAAAAAGATCTTTAGTGCGAAAAAGAGCGGCAGAAAGGAGACAATTGGCACTTTTTAAAATGTGGAATTAAAAAGTATTTAAACACTTTTAAAAAAAGTATTTGATTGGAAGTGATTTTCCATATTTAATTTTTAAATTCAAATACTTGCTTTTTAAAGAGATATTTAATTGAAATTGATTTTAAATATTTTATTTTTTCAATTACCGAAATAGAAAACTCCGTCACCCACGCCCACTCAGACAGCGAGGCCTTCTCCACTGCGGGGAACAGATCAACGAGGGTTTAGGGTTTAGGGTTTAGGGTTTAAGAAGACGAACCTGTGAAGTTTTGGACGGAAGGAGCTGCTGCTGCTTCGGAAAGAGAGAGGCCGAAGCTCCAGACTTCGTTTTCGTTCATTCTGCAAATTAGAAAACAAAATAAAAGTAAAATAAATAAACAAATTAATTAAATTGAATCACACTGAATCGTTTTAAAGCTTATTCAATTAATAAAGTGCACAAATTAAATTAAATTAAATTGAATTAAATTGAATTAAATTGGTTAAATTGAATTAAATTGTTTTGGGAATGGCCGCGAGCAAAGAAGCACCTGATCCGGACTTTGAGGGGCTCTTTCAAGTCTCTTTGGGAGTGCAGCATAATCTGCAAAACAAAAAAGAAATGGAGAGAAGCAGCAAATTGAAAATAGCATTGAGTTGGAGTTAAACTGGAACTAAATTGGCATTAATTGGGGTTAAATTGGAACGAAATTGGAATTAATTAAATCAATTCATTTAAATGGTTTAAAGTGCCTCTCACGGCCTTCAAACCAATCCCAAACTCGCCGCCCGCCTTTGCGTCGTTTGCCTTCGAAGAGGCGAAGACGTCGCCGAGGGCGGAGACGGAGCCGCAGTCGATTCCAGCTCCCTTGAAGAAAAAGCAAAGCAAAATAACAATTAAATAAAGAATGAAAATAATAATTAAAGTGGACACGAAGTCGAAACTGAAGCGGGCTTTGCCTGCGGCCCTACGGTGTCGCGACACGCCACAGCCACTGCGGACTCGCCCAGCGAAACCGCCAGTTCAACTTCGCCGCCAGCGAGAAGTGGAAAGCGGCACTTAATTCTTTTTCTGCAAGCATCAACTGCATTATCCAGCAGTTCTTTGCAAACCATGAAGACTCCGTCTTGGGAGTTGAAGCCGCTGAGCTCGAGATCTGCAGCTTTCTTTGCAAAGTGCAGAAACGTAAACGCCAGCCGGCACTCACACTGACACAGAAACTCCCCCGCCGTGCGGCTCGCCGTCGCCGCCATTTTCCTTTTGAAAATGTCTTCGAATTTATTTATTCAATTTTGCAAAATGCCTCTTCAAAGCAGCAGATCAACAGAAGTGCAGCAGCAGCGGCGCCGACTTGCAAACCGCCACACCCCCAGCTGCCTGTACACCTGAAATCTGGCCAAACGCCGAAGCCGATCCGGTCCTTCTAAAGCCACTTTTTCTTTTCTTTCGCGCAAATAAAAGTTGAACTTTACTGTTTTTGCGTTTATTTTCTCTATTTCCTCCCCTCTTTTGCAAAAGATCTACTTTCCCGCAGCGGCAACCAACTCCAGAGCTGTTCCTGCTGCTGCTGCACTCGCCTGCACACGCAGCAGAACTCCAGCTGAGCTGCAGCAAATCCTGTTTCCACTAACTTCTACTTTTATTTCTTTTAGTTTCCTCCTAGAATCAATGCGATTGCATTTCTTGAAATTCAAGTTCTGTCCAGGAAATCAATTGAAGACAATTCAAAAGCCAAGCAGAAACAAGACTGCCAAGAGTCCCAAAAAAGAAAAAAGTGAATACAGCCGCCCGCAGCAGCGCAGCAGCAGCGCAGCAAGGCTTGCAGCCTCCCACAGTTCCCGCTCGCTGAGAGCAGCAGCAGCAGCTGCTGCAGCAGCTGCTGCTGCTGCTGGTTCTTCTCGCTCGCGGCTGCTGGGGCTGGCGAGGTGTACGTACACCCGGAGCGCGCTCTTCAGAGGCGCTCGCGAGGCAGCCAAGAGGCCGCCGTCACTTCATTTATTTCTCCCGAAGAAAAGTCCACAGGCTCTCCCTCGTGCATTGCTGCTTCGTAGGAGCAGCCAATTACGCTGGGCACTGGCCCGTACGCCCGCAGCTCCACCCCGCCTGCAGCAGCAGCAGCAGCAGCAGCAGCAGCAGCGCAGCAGCAGCAGCAGAAAGAGCACGAGTGAGAGTGGGGTGGTGAAAGCAAACAAAATGCTGCAATTTTGAACTTTTGGTGGTGGTGCAAACAACGAAGTGCAAATATCATGCAGCAGCAGCAGCAGCAGCAGCAGTAGCAGCAAGCTCGCTGCTGCTGCTGAAAAGTCCCAAGTTGGAGTTTGAAAATGCGAAGAGTCTTTCCTCACTTCTTTGGCCCAAAGCCTTTCTGCTGCCAGCAGCAGCAGCCCGCAGCAGCAGCTGGGTGATTCTGCTGCTCCTGCGGAGGTACTTGAGGGCCAGCAGCAGCAAAACGGCCAGCAGCAGCAGCAGCAAAGCCCAAATGCTGCTGCGGCGAACTGCAGCAGCAGCAGCACTAGAAGGCACTTCAGCAAATCTGTAGGCAAAGGGCCTCGCCGCCAGGGGCCCCCCGGGGTTTAAAAACTTCGCCACAAGTCCAATTCTGAAATAATAAAACAGCAAGTGCAAAGGGCCCAGCTGCAGCAGCAAACTACCCACAGCAGCAGCAGCAGCAGCGCAGCAGCAGCAGCAGCAGCGCAGCAGCAGTGAAGCAGCAGCAGCAGCTGCTGCTTCGCCCGAAAAAAGGCGAAAAAAGGCGAATTTTCGACCAATTCTCAGGCAATAAATAAAGAAATAGTTTAATTAATTAATCAATTAATTAAATTAATTAATCAATTAATTAACTAATTAATTAGTTAATTAATTTGGCTGCGTGCCTGTAGGCGTCTGTGTCTGCGAAGTCGAGGGGCAGGGAGTGCTGCAGCAGGCCGGGCGCCACGGGGACTTTTGCTGCTGCTGCGAAGCAAAAAGTGTCTTGGTAAATTCCGCAGCTGCTGCTCCAGTTGCTTTTTGCTGCTGCTGCTTTCGCCACAAACAGTTCGTACACCACAAACGCCTCGCCAACTGCTGCTCCTGCTGCTGCCACTGCAGCAGGAGCGCACGCCCACTCCTCGGACACCCTGCAGCAGCAGCAGCAGCAGCAGCGGCAGCAGTGGCAGAGCAACAATAGCAGCAGCGGCAGTAGAAGAGCAACAGCAGCAGCAGCAGCAGCAGCGGCAGAGCAGCAGCAGCAGCAGTGGAACAGCAGCAGCAGCAGCAGTGGAACAGCAACAGCAGCAGCAGCAAGACAGCAGCAGCAGCAGGAGCAACACAGCAGCGGCAGCAGAACTACAGCAGCAGCAGAAATACAACAGCAGCAGCAGCAAACAGCAGCGGCAGGACCGCAGTAAGTGCAGCAGCAGGGAAGTGTCTGTACAGCGGAGCGCATGCAGCAGCAACGGACCCGCCCTTTCCGAGTGTATCGACAGCTCGGGCCTTCAAAAGGGGACTCCAGGAAAGATGGATAAGAACACTTTTATTATTTTTGAAGTTGAAGAAGTTTGGCAGCCAGTGGCGGGGCCCCACAGACCACTGCAGGTCTGCTGCTGCTGCTGCCAGGCACTCAGCAGCAGCAAGCGGCTCCACCAGCACCGAGTACTTGCTGCTGCGGCTCCCCACAAACCCCGCCCGCTGCTGCTGCTGCAGCGGCAGCAGCGCAGCGCCCAGGTAGTTCACCTCGGGGCCCCACACCACCTGCAGCACAAACCCACGCCCCTGCTGCTGCTGCTGCTGCTGCTGCTGCTGCGGGGTGCGCTGCTGCTGCGGGCGCTACCGCGTGCCCCAGGTGCTCGAACTACCGCTGCTGCTGCTGCTGCTGCTGCTACTGCTGCTGCTGCTGGTTGTGGGCGCACTCTGCTGACGCGTCCCTGGCTGATGAGGGTTTGCTGCTCCTGCTGCTGCTGCTGCTGCTCCCCTTCCTTGTTTTGGAGTTCTCCAACAAGCCAAGAATTCTTTCCCGATTCTTCCCGAACCCCCACGCGGCTTTTGCCCCACGTGAAGTTCACGTTCCCGCTGCAGCCCTGCAGTCAGCAGCAGCAGCAGCAGCAGCAGCAGAAGCAGCGAGACAGAATAATAGGAATAAAGAAGAAGCAGTATGAGACTAGCAGCAAATATGGGTGCAAAAAGAAACACAGAAAAGCCGCAGCTGCAAAACCCGCTAAAAGGCTGAAGGGGGAAAAAGGAAATCTGAAAAAAACAAAAAAGATTTAAATTCATATTAAATTAAATAAAATTAAACTAAATTATTAATTAAACCCTTTGCACTTTTAATTATTTCATTTTCGTTTTCATTTCCGTATTTTGTTGCAGACTTTTCTGCGCGTGCGCTGAGGTGTACGTACACCTCAAGCGCACGAAAGGCAAAATTCAACTTCGGCTCGAAATGAATCATTTTTGATTTAATTGCACTTTAAATTTATTTAATTTCATTTTTAAAAGTAAATAAATGCAGAACTAAAAGAAAAACAAAAGAAAACAAATAAACAAATCAGAATTCCTCCGCACCACTTCCTGGACTTCAGCCGGGTGTATGTACAGACACATCTACGAAACAGCAAATGCAGAAAATAAAATAAATAAAAATAAAATAAATTAAAAAAATAAAAAAGAATAAAAAAATAAAACAATTCGAATATATCTGCAACAAAAGGAAACAAAAGTTTGTAAATTAATGGATATAAATGAGTGCATTATAAATACATTTGTTCTTTGACAAAAAACAGAATAAAAAAACGAAGAAAAAGACAAAAACGCCCCCACCAGCCGCCTGTGCTGCAGAGAAGCAGCAGCAAGCCTCCTGCTGCTGCTGCTGCTGCTGCTGCTGCTGCTGCTTACTTGGAGGGTGATGAGGAGGGGCTGGTTTTTGTATTTGTGCTTCCAAAGCCGCATAAGTGCAAAGTCGGAAATAAACATTTTTGTTCCTTTTGAATTAAATCGAGATTGGATTTGCGGCTTCTTCGAAAGAAAGCCGGGAGTGGGGGAGTTGAGCGGCAGCAGCAGCGCAGCAGCTTGCTGCTGCAGCGCAGCACGGATCCTGAAGAACACGGGAGCTGCTGCGGGCGCTGCTGCTGCTGCTGCTGCTGCTGCTGCTGCTGCTGCAGCCGGGTCCGCCTCGGGGTCCGCCGCCGCCGCCGCCGCTGCTGCTGCCTCCGGCGCTGCTGCTGCTGCTTCTGCCGCTGCAGCAGCAGCATAAACCCCTATTCGGTACTGACACAAAGGACTGTTGAAAAGATGCAAATTGTTTTCTATAACTGCAACAATTTGATTAAATTCATTTAAATGACCTTTGTCAGTATGCAGCTGAGAAGAGGGCCGCAAAGTCGGCGCCCACATGCTCTTGGCGAAGGTCTCGTTGTTGCAGGACTGTACGTACACCTGAATCGACTCCAGCGCTGCAGCAGCAGCGCGCTTGTACGCTGCTGCTGCTGCTGCTGCTGCTGCCTCGTCGTCTGCTGCTGCTGCGCTCTCACCCTCTGACGCGGACCCAATTGCTGCTGCTGCTGCTGCTGCAGGCTCGCCGCGAAGGTCCGGCTCCAACGTCACAATTAGGTGGCCCCCAGCAGCCCTGCAGACAGCAGCAGCAGCAGCAGCAGCAGCAGCAGCAAAGGCGAATTCGACGAAGATAGACAATATCGAAAGAGAGGCAGCAGAGACAAAAGGATACAAAGGAAATGAAAAATTAAAAGCAAAAAAGATTAAAGTGGTCCATGGGCAGCGCTGACGCCGAATGGCAAAAAACCGAAGCTGCAGCAGCAGCAGCAGCAGCAGCAGCAGCCGCAGCAGCTGAAGCAGCAGCGACTTCAGCACATCCTCTATCAGGGTCAGCAGCAACAGGCAGCCGCAGCAGCAGCAACTCCACCGTAGCGACCTCAAGCAGCAGCAGCAGCGGCAGCAGCAGCTGCTGCTGCTGCACCAGCACCTGCTGTCGCTGCTGCCCGAGCAGCTGCTGCCGCTGCCCCAGCAGCAGCAGCAGCAGCAGCAGCTTACTCTGCTTCGAAGCAAAAGAAAGCAGGACTGTCTTTGGAGACAGAATAAAGAGAAGCAGCAGCAGCATCTCCAAGTGCAACAAAAGCCCCCTGCTCCCGCGCTGTGAACTGCAGCACCGGCTCGTGGCCCTATAAATAAATAAATAAATAAATAAATAAATAAATAAATAAATAACCAAATAATAATAAATGAATTGTCAAGTTCAGTGAAGACAAAGCAAGAAGGAGAAGAATAAATATTCAAAAGGTTAGTCACTTGAATGGCCAGGATAAACCAAACCCTAAACCCTAAACCCTAAACCCTAAACCCTAAACCCTCGGCGCTGACGGGGTCTCTGTGGAGGTCGAGGCCGACGATGACGTAGAGGAGGCGTCGGAGGTGGAGGGTTTTTCGTTCTGCTTTTATTTCAATTTCAAAAACCCCCAAACCTCCAATTGAGTGTTTTGCTGCTGTCCAGCAAACCTCCGATTGGTCCGGCAGCACGCACTCCGACTCCGAGAACAGGTCTGCAGCAGCAGCAGCAGCAGCAGCGGGGACGATGCAGCAGCAGCAGCAGCAGAGGGGACACTGCAGCAGCAGCAGCAGCAGCGGGGATGATGCAGCAGCAGCAAAGGCAGCGCGAGCGCATAGAGCCTTTGCTCACGGCACCCAGCAGCAGCATTCGCAGCAGCAGCACGATCCACAGCAGCAGCAGCAGCAGCAGCATCCACAGCAGCAGCAGCAGCATCATCCACAGCAGCAGCATCATCCACAGCAGCAGCAGCAGCATCATCCACAGCAGCAGCAGCAGCAGCAGCAGCAGTACTGGGTCTCTGGAGGATCTCGGGGCTGAAGTGGAGAGCAGCAGCAAAGTGGCGGACGAGCTGCGGGTCTGAAGAGTTGAGTTTGAGGGAAAGATTTGCTGCTGCGTTCTGCAGCGGCAGCAGCAAAACTTTGAATCCTTTGGATTCAAAAAAAGATTCAAAAAACAAATCTAATGGCACTTCTAGCTTCGCATGCAAGTACAAACTTTGCTGCTGCTGCGCTGCAGCAACAGCAAACAACACTTCCCGCGGCGCCTCCGCCTCTGCACGCACCAGCAGCAGCAGCAGCAGCAGCAGCAGCAGCAGCAAACACTTCAAAACGCTCCCCCTTTTAATTCTTTTAATTCCTTTAATTGTTTTTAATTGTTTTAAATTCATTTTAATTGTTTTCAATTGTTTTTAATTGTTTGTAATTCTTTTAATTTTATTTATTGTTTTTAATTCACTTAATTCCCTTAATTGTTTTAATTCTTTTCAATTTAAATTCTTCTTTTGATTTTATTCATTTTGTCGCAATTATTTCTTTTTCTCAAATTGCCAAAATGACACTTCGCCAACAGCTAACTGCCTGGCTAGCTGCGTGGCTAGCTGTGCTATTTGATGGCTAGCTGGGCTAGCTAGCTGGGCCATTTGATGGCTAGCTGGGTGGCTAGCTGGGCTAGCTAGCTGGGCTATTTGATGGCTAGCTGGGTGGCTAGCTGGGCTATTTGATGGCTAGCTGGGCTATTTGATGGCTAGCTGGGGTAGCTAGCTGGGCTAGCTAGCTGGGCTAGCTAGCTGGGCTAGCTAGCTGGGCTAGCTCGCTGGGCTAGCTAGCTGGGGAAGCTAGCTGAGGTAGCTAGCTGGGGCAGCTAGCTGGGCTAGCTAGCTGGGCTAGCTAGCTGGGCTAGCTAGCTGGGCTAGCTAGCTGGGTTAAATGATGGCTGGCTGAGTGGCTAGCTGGGCTAATTTATGGTTAGCTGGAGTAGCTAGCTGGGCTATATGATGGCTAGCTGGGCTATTTGATGGCTAGCTGGGCTGTTTGATAGCTAGCTGGCAGGCTAGCTGGGATGCTGGCTGGCTAGCTGGGCTGTTTGATAGCTAGCTGGGCCATTTGGTGGCTAGCTAGGGTGGCTAGCAGCCTGGTACACTAGGGTTTAGGATTTCGGGTGCAGCTAATAAGGGTTTAGGGTTTAGGGTTTTCTCGAGGGAGTCCGCGCGAGGCCAGCGCAGGGCTCTGTCTGGCTCGCTAGGGTTTAGGGTTTAGGGTTTAGGGTTTACCTTCGCCGTGTCGATCGAAGACGGAAATCAACAACTGGCACCTGTCAATGAACTGCAAAGACCCTTCCGGAACCCTAAACCCTAAATGAGGGTCTCCAGCTTCCCACAGGCTTTTGGGGCTGCATGCAGTTTCGTAGTCGAGCCCTGTGGGGCCCCAGCCGTGTCCTGCGCGCAAACCCTAAACCCTAGACCCTAAACCATAAACCCCAGACCCTAAACCCCAAACCCCAAACCCCAAGCAACATACCCAAGACCCCGAACCCTAAACCCTAAACCCTCAACCCTAAACCCCAAACCCTAAACCCTAAACCCTAAACCCTAGCGAGCCAGACAGAGCCCTGCGCTGGCCTCGCGCGGACTCCCTCGAGAAAACCCTAAACCCTAAACCCTTATTAGCTGCACCCGAAATCCTAAACCCTAGTGTACCAGGCTGCTAGCCACCCTAGCTAGCCACCAAATGGCCCAGCTAGCTATCAAACAGCCCAGCT